CAGCAGAAATGAGAACAATAAATACTGTAATAAATAGACAAAAGCCTGTCACATGGCACTGCCCCAGCAGCAGATGGTGCAGCCAGGGCCAGGGTCCTGGGGTATCTGCCCTGCTCTGCTATCCCTAGGCCCTCCCCCAGCTGTGACAAAGCAAGCCCTGCCCCACAGAAGTGCGCCAAAGCAAGGACAGGGCGGCCGTTCAGGCCTCATCAGTGCTGTCCTGGCGGCAGGTAACGCGTGGCTGCGTCCAGCAGCACCCTCCCTCCTGCTGGCTCAATGCTGAACCTGAGGGGGCTGGTGCTGCAGCTAGCAGGCAGACATGCAGCCAGAGGTGAGAGCCCTCCCTGAAGCTGGGGAGCGCCAGGAGGGGGGCAGCCCCAAGGCCAGGGCTGAGGGACACGAGGGACGCGTGGCAGAGTCCCTAGGGACCAAGGTGGTGGCCTTGGAGAGACATCACCAGGGCAACAAAACCTTCAGCAGGGAGGCTGCGCTTCCTGCAGGCCCGGGCGGGGGGCAGCAGGGCAGTGCAAGGACAGCCTCAGGGCCCCTGCAGGCCGCAAAAGATGGGGAGGGTGAAGCCCTTCCTGCATGGGGAGCTAGGGGAGGCAATTTTGGTGAGCAGTAAAGTGGCCCCCCAGGGACTTGCAGAAGCCAGGAGAGCTGGAGGTGGGTAGAAACAAAAGGGTTAAATCAAACCACACCAGTAGGATGGGACAGTGTCACAGGCCCCAGCAGGCCTGGCTTCGGTGCTGGGGCTTGTGTCCCTGCCAGGTTCAAAGGCTGCAGTCAGTGGCCAGTTCTCACACAGTCCTGTGGCCCAGTGTATGCAGAAACAAGTGGCATTTTTGTGTCCTGCGTTGGGGGGGGGGGCAGGTGAGGCCCCAGCTCAGATGGGCTTGCACAGCAGTGTGGTGACATATTTCTTCTTGTAGCGGTGCGTGGCACTGAGCACCATCACGCCGTCCTGCAAGAGACACAGCATCAGCTGGGTCAGGCGGGAGAGTTCACCGCGGCGTCGCAACCTAGCCACGCTGACCTGGGAGCGGTGCGCCCCCAAGGCGGCCGTGGGGAAGGAGTTCCCTGTGGTTCTCTGGGCTTGGGGAGTAGCCCTAACCGGTCTCTGCTGTCCCAAGCCTCACTGTCTGCGAGCCACGTGCAACATCCATGACCAGAGCTGGGCAGAGCAAGGAAAGGGCCTGGCATGCAGCAGGAGAACCCAGCGCTGCCCAGGTCCACCACGCTGAGGGGAAGCAGCCACAGGGAACAGGGGGGGGCTGTAAGGAGACCCACAGCCCACATCCCACGTTTCACTGAGCAGCCAGTCTTCACGTGAGTCTGTCTATTCCTGCACCACCCTCTCCACACCCAGCTGTCCGGGCTCTTGGGAACCACTGCACCTCTCCTTCTCTCACCCACTGGCCACCTGGGGTCTGCGCTTACCTTGATAGAAAGTGCATAGAGGTGGTTGAGCATGACGTGGTTGGGTTCGGGCAGCAGAGCTGGATCACACTGGAAAGAGACGTAGTGTCACAGGGGAACAGCAGAGCCTGATCCCCCAAACCCAGCCCCAGCCATCACAGGGAGCAGGGAGTTGGTGTCTCAGGTGATATGAGCTGCTGGTGCCTCTGGCTCTTCTGAACACGAACAGAGCCCAGCTAAGCACCAGGCAGACCAAGAGGCCAAAATGGAAGAGGTTAATGGGAAAACTGACCCTTTTCCAGTACGTGGCAAGGGCCAGGCGCCAGCCAAGGGGACACCAGGCTCTTTGCAGACAGGACTCCCCTTCCAACCTCAGCCCTGCTCTCCACATCAGGAGCAGGAGCCCACAGCACGCGGGTAGTGGCTGGTACCCACCGAGATGTTGGTGTCTTTGTTGAGGATGACCTGGAGGAGATGAGGTGGGAGGATGGGTGGGGATTTGAAGCGCTCCTCAGGCCGGTAGACATACATTTCTTGGCCATAAGGCCCAGGCGGTGAGCTTGACAGATCTGAAGGGAACAGACAGGAGGAGACATGAGATGGCTAAAGCAGAACTGGCAAGCCCAGAGCAGCTCCCAAGACACTGAGAGGGACCCAGCAGGGTCTTTCCAGCACTAATGATTTCCATGAGCCCAGCTTGCACTTGTTACTGGGCAGACTGGGGTTAACATGCAGCAGGGCAGCAGCACAGCCTTGTCACACACTTTGTGGCTGGAAGCCCAACGCCTGTTCCCCGGCAGGGCCTCAGAGCCCAGGGATCTGGCAATGGCGCAGGAGTACAGAAAGTGGGGAGACTGAGGGTCCCACTCATAGCACACCCGCACGCAAGCCTCCTCAGTGCTTCCAGGAAGCCACCTGCATGTCATGCTGTAACATCAGTGCTCCCCACAGCCTCTGGGGGACAGAAGGTGGCTTGTTTTGTTTCAAAGGGGTCTTCAAGCCTTAGTTGCCCCTTGGCCATGTACCCTAAACAGCTCAGCCTTCTCACAGCAGAATAAGTAGCCAAGCAAGTGCTGGGCACTGCCAAGCATGGCTGTAAGCTGGTTTGTGCACTGACACAACGCAAGCAGCCTGTGGCATCCAACCCAAAACCCCAGCACACGGCTCTCAGTGTGCTCTGATGCACAGAGCACATCCTCTCCCTGTTGCAAGCAGCTGGCTTGCCAGCCCAGGAGCTGCGCCCTTTGCAGCAGGCACAGGAGCACAGCAAGTAGCACGCCTGCACGCTCTCCAGTGTCGCGGGACTGCCTGACGAGGAGGTCCGCAAAGGGCAAATGCAAAGTTCAGACTTAGCAGCCGTTCAGCCTGGATAAGGGGACCACAGGAGCTCGTAGTCACTGGAAGCTGGATTAGCAGCATCTCCCAGCCACATCTGACCTGATCGTTTTGGAACAGCCAGCACGCTGAAGGGCTCCACCTCACTGGAGTTGCTGCTTGCTGGCTTCCTTCCAGTGAAGTACCTCCTGCTCACGCTGGGCAAGGACACAGAGCTGAGGCTATATCTGAGACGGGGCTCATACCACGGACAGCAGGCCACGTTCAGAGTGCCCTGGACCGAAACATGACTGAACTACCTGCCAGCAGTACACACCGAGCCAGCACTGCCAGCGTCTGAGCGGTAACCTCACCTGCTGCTGTAACACAAGTGGAGAGGGAGGTTTCCAATGGGTTAGCACTAGGACAAATTGCCTTGGCACGAAAGCCAAGAATGGCTGCTGAAAATAACCTGGATCCTGCTCTCACCTAACTTATACCCCAGATCAGATAACTTACTCACATTTGAGAAACAGAGGTAACGTTCCCAGCAGGCTAGGCTCGGGCGTTCACCAGTCTGAGATGGCTGCCCCAGCCCCACATGGGCACTGACCCCACTGTGGGCCAGTGCTACCACAGAATGAGTTACACCAGCACAGCCCCTCTACAGGGACAAGGCCTTGGCTGGGGGCTGCTTAGGATGAGGGCAGGACACACTACCGAGCACTACTCTACCCAGGACGTGGGCCCGCACCTCTGCTCAGGGGGGGCTGTTACCACCAGAGAAGCGAGTCTCAGCGGAGGAAGTGGAAAATGGCATGTGCAAAGCTGCAGCGCAACAAAAAAAACTCACCCCGACCTGAGGTTTCTGAGCTCTCCAGAGAATCCACCTTCAAAGCATCAAACACCTCAAAGTCAGACTTCTTGACGTGAATCAGGTTGTTAATTGTCCCCATCTGGCTGGTGACTACAGGCTGAAGAAAAGAATTGAGGTAAGAGTCTTCCTACGTTCACCTCAAGCTGAAGCATTCTCAGAGTTTTCCCAGCTCCTCACAGCCCAGGCTCTCCTTGCCATGCCATCACCTCAGAGCACAAGTGGCTAGTGTCTAGCTCTGCTCTACGCCAGCAGATCTGTGTTGTTTACCCCAGGAGGATTTTCCTTTACTTCCAGGCTCCTACCCCTACAACACCTCCCGTGTCCTCTCTCCTTCCCATGCTGCTCCTGCATGGTTCAGTTCGGAGGAGAACCTGCAAGTGAACACTGGCCCATGGCCTGCCTTCCTCTACAACCAATTCAAAGGGAGTTTAAAGGCCTTCTGGTGTCTCACTGCCCCTTCTACCTCCCTGACGCTCTCCCATACAGCACATCTAAGTCCAGAGGTACCAGCCTCTGGAAAGATTCAGGGGATGAAGGTGCTCCTTTTGTTTTGGCAGATATTCCCTGCTCTTCCTGCTCCCCCTCTGCTGCAGTTACGTCATATCTGGTAACTCAAAAGAAGGCAAAAGCCACAGGCACAAAGCTTTGAGGGTTACCTCAGAAGGGTCATGGACCCACTGGCCATCCACAAAAAATTTGTACTGGTGCTCTCCTTCAGGAAGGTCCAGGATAGCGACAAAGTCATTGTGGCTAAAGGAGAGAACAGATGTGCAACAGCATTACCCCGACGCTGCTCTTTCATGGGGTCCCAGAACACAGCACGTTTTCCCACGCTGTCCAGTCCCCTCGCCCCCCTGAAACCCAGGATTCAGCTCGGTCGTCATCGGTGATTTGAAGTACAGACACAATAGGCACCGGCATTAAGGGCACAAGCATTGCTTGAACCCCTGGGAGGCCAGCGATGAAGAGCGCAGGAGGCATTTCAGCTTGCAAACCTGTCCTGCATAACCAGGGAAAGTAGGTGTGGCAGACACTCCATGGAAGACACACCGCACAGGATGTGCGGGCAACAAATCTAAACCTTGACTGGCGTTGCAGGACGGCAGCAGGAAAGTATAGCAGCTCTGTTTGTGCAGTCTGCAACCGGGATAAGCCTAGTACATATGATTTGCTGGGATTATGCCCAGAGTCCTACACAGTTTCTCCCCAGAAATCACTACTCTATCACAGAATAGCGAGAACGACATCATTACGGCAGGAGGACACGTGAGGGACAACTAAACAACCGCTGCTGGCAACAATACAACCAGGCAAGGGGTAAGGTCACAGCCAAGGGATGAGCTAACAGCTTCCAGGGAACAGCTGCATACCTGGGCAGGGCTCTGCTGCCACGACTGGATGCTGCACAACATCCATCTGGGAAAACAAAGTGCCTCATCCTGTCCTGTCCCTCTGTTTCACAACCTCCCACCACCATAGTCGCACCACCCAGAGAAGAAGCTGACTACATGTCTGTGCTCTACCTTGGGTGCTGTGAATGGAGAAAAGCTGGGTAAGCAAAGGAAACAGCAACCAGCACAGGGAAGGGAAAAGCCCCAGTGATGGAGCAGGGGACAGTTCACGGCATAGCATGGCTGCGTGGCCTGCAAGACAGGGATCAGAGGGCGACCTGAGGGGCTGACTACCTCTTGATGAGTGGGATCTTGGTGCTCCAGTTGTTGAAAGACCCGGAGATGAAGACCTCTTTGCCCCCATCAGCCCAGCGGATGACAGTGGGACGAGCCTGCTGGGATGGTTTCACTGCCTCCTCCAGATCCGGCTGCCATGACATGAACTCCTTATCCCCAGGAATCTGAGCAAAGAAAACCAAGCCTGACACAGAGACAACGGGGACCACGTTCACTTCTCTCTTTACTCTACCAGCCCATCCGCGCATCGTAGATAAGAGCGCTGCAGAGCTCCTCCAGCCTCCCAGCTCTCCACAAGCCCCTCACATAGCTGGGAGCTCTTGCCTTCTCCCATCACATCTCCCCCTCCTTTGTCCATGCAGTCTCCACAGTCATGAAGTCTCTGCAGAGGGAACACTGTCCTCATACAGCCAGCAACCACCAGGCCAGGCAAGCAGCTCCGCTCCTGTGTTCCAGGAGATGTTCCTGCTATGTGGAAATCCAGGAGATGCTGATTTCCTCAGCTCTGCCAGCAGTTCCCTCAAGGCAAGCGGTCTCCCAGGACCCCGGAGACCCTAGTTGAGTTTACCTACACAGCACCTGAATTTAGTATCAAACACAAAGCAGCTCTCACGTCAGCTGTTACTACCCCCTCAGACAAAACTGACTCCGCACAAATTGTCTCAGCTCAGCTAGAACCACCCCAGCAGAGCTACCCCAGGGGCGAGCTGAAGCACCAGCCAGGACCTCAAGCGGAAGGACCGGGAAGGCAGCGGCTAGCCCATACCTTGGAGTCATGAGAGCTGAAAACACTGGGGTCGTCGGTGCTGCCCACCATGATCTTGTGTGGATGTTCTTTGCTAGAGTGGGGAGCACCAGAGCCATCCGAGCGGTGGGACTTGGAGCCATGGCGCTCCCCAGACAGTCGCTCGCTGGTGGTGTTTCCCATGGCAGCTCAGCAGCAGCTCTGCGGGAGAGAGAAGATGACGATGTTCCTATGCCCACGGGCTCCTGCAGTGAGGCAGTGAAGGCAGTGTTTCCCAACATCCTTTGCCCGGGGAGACTGACAGCAATCCTAAAAAAGGCTCAAAGTTCATTCCCACTGCCAAGTTTGAGACCTGAAGGGGAATTTAACAAACAAGACAGCTTGAGCTAATTATAGCCATATCCTTATGAGCCGTTGCTCTAGTCAACCCGGTAATTGTTATACTCTAAAACAGACACAAATTGCACTGCATCCTACGCAACCCTCACCAGCCAGCATAGCAGAGGGGCTGATGGGAAAAATAAAGCCAACCTTTATTGGCAAATCAATTGCTTGACATAAACAGAGCCTCTTTCATAGTCCCAACAGACTCTGCAGACAAAATCTCTATTTCCAGCAAGAAAACAGCCAAGGAGTGAGAGTAGCAGCTGTTTAACAGCCCTCAGCAACTCTCTAAGGGCTCGCAGGCAGACGAGCAGAGCCTTGTGCCTGGCAAAAGCAACAGGGAGCGTTTAAACAGTCTGAGTGGAATTGCCCAAGCTGGAGCTTGGCCAAGGCATAAGGCTAATGCCCTGGTGTCTGCAGAAAGCTCAGCTCTTGATGGCATTCACTTATCATTCACCAGGCAAGTGGCCACGTCAGCTCCGGCACAGCACAACAAGGGGCGTCTGCTTGCTACAGCCCTCGCCAGCGGCACTACCACGAGCGGTCAGACATCTGGCTGGCCATCCAGAGGCACATCATGAGTGAAAGGTAAGCCTGCTTGCCTCAGCACTGCTCTGCAGGTGGAGATCGGGCATCATCCCCAATTTCATCCAGTTCAGGGAATGCAAAGCAGGAGGAACTTGCCCTATGGCAACAAGCCACTAACAACTACACACCTCTCAGGGCAAACAAAGCCATCACAACTTACATAGGTTTCTTCAGGCCTGCTCCAGGCCTTACCCAACTTGCAGCAGCGGAGGACTGTGGGCCTTGCCCCTTTCCCAGGTTTATTCTGTAGCTCACATGCTTTCAGTCATACTACGCTGATTGCCAGCTCTGTGGGCAAGGCAATAGGACGGCCAGCCTTACTTCATACACTTAGTTGTGACATTTGAGATTTGTTTAGAAGGTCAGGTTATACGTAGGGTGCCAGGCGAGGCTGCCAGCCAAAGCCAGGCTTCAGAACATTACTTGCAGAGCAATTACTAAAGTATTTCTTAAATCCTTAGGGCTAAAAGATAGCTCGAGAGGACAGCTAGCACATACCACAGCCCCCCCCTCTGAGCTAAGATCAAGTGTACCTGAACAGCCCAGGACAGGAGAGGTGCTCCACTTGCTCTGACATCTTCCCCCTTTCGCCTAGAGGAGACTGAACCAGCTCCTCATAGAACCTGCCCCTGCTCAACTATATGTGGTATTATGAAATTTCTTGCCCGCTATCTCGGCCAAGACTCTCTTAACTTCTCATCTACTAGCAGCAAGGTAAGAAGGGCTGAACAAAACAGATCTGAGAGTTAACATGCAGACTGTTTCAGATTTGAAAGCTCCCCCTTCTCTTTTCTAGAAGCAATCCAATCCCTCTGAGTCTCCCTCGGTGGCCACATTCTCTATATGTTCCCCAAGATTTCTCCCAGGTGGTTACTCCTTTCCAAAATGTGACATCCAAAGCTCAGTGCAGACAAGAAGCATCTCCTGCCTCCTGCACACAGCCACGCTGCTGCACTGGAACAGCAACATCCTTCTGCAGCAACTCGCTTGCGGCTTGTAAATTCCTGTGGCCAGTCCATTTCAGTGCTCTGCGAGCACAGCCTGCTGTACTTCGCTTTACTGAACTAACTTTTACCAACTGAATCCCCCAAAGCTCAGCCACCCCTTGTAGCACAGCATCCTCTGAGAGTTTGGCACAGGTATCTTCTAACGCATCATGCAAGTCACTAATGACAACACTAGCTTCGTCTGGCCCCTGCTTCCCCCCGCTTCCTCGTGGAAATGACAGGCGAGGTGCACAAAGCCCTCCTATACCCACCACACCTACTGCTTCTCCCTCTTCCTTTGGGCCAGCTACCCTGTCACAAAAAACACGCCCGAGCCATCCGAAGGGATTCGTTCAGCGGAGACCACCTTGCTGTTCGGCGACAGTTGCCCACAGCCTGCTCCGTCGACGCCTCTTGGCACTGAAGTAAGCCAAGAAAGTTTCATTTCACTGGATTCTCCTGCCCCCCCTTCTCTTAGCAAAGGCAACAAGAGCTCAGTTGGCCTGATGATGATGATGCTGACAAGCCGGGAAATCAGGGAGAAGAGAGCGTCTCATCGGGGATCCGCGGAGCGCACCCAGCGGGGCCGAGGCCTCGGGCCCGGCCCAGGCGGCGCGGGGCAGAGCAGGG